CCCGCCGGGCCTGGCCGGGGGGAGGGTGGGCGCGGGGGCTGGTGTCAAGAAAATAAGAGAGAAGGCACCAGCCGAAAGGGGGCTGTTTACACAGAGAGGGGAACAAAGACAGAGAACACTAGAGAAAAGCTGACCTCTTTCTCCGGATTGACGACTCTAAAATGCAAAAGCCACCCGCCCCCAAGCCAAGAAATGAAGTACGATCTTTAAAAAAAAAAAAAAAACCCTGCAAAAAATAACTGGAAAAACAACCAGTTAGTGATTAACAAACATGACACCGCACGATCCATAGACGGACCATGGGGTGAGGGACTTTGAATTATGATCCGATGTTCTGCAGTTGCAGCTAGAGTCCAGTTCCTCCACATGTGTTCAGTCTAGCTAGTGGCTAGCTTGTCTCCAAGCACAATAAAAACTGGTAATTGTATACCAGCTGCAAGGCTTTTTGTGTGAGAGAGAGAATGTAAGCATATGCCCATATTTACTCTGTTTATATATAAATGCAGTGTACTGCCTTGTCCTCTGAGAGTGATTCCATGTGCTTTTTAAAAGTATAACATTTTAACATTCATTACGAAATTTTTATTAAAGCTATTTGGAATCATTTTGAGGGGCATTTGTTTTAATGTAATTAAATTGTGAGCTTAACTAAGATCTTGCCTCATTTTAATTATCTTACTAAATGGCACATTTAAACAGATTTGTTGAAAGTTTTTTACTGGTGAATATTTCTGTGTGTATACAATCCAGTGTCATGAGCCATATTGAAAAATGTTGTTTCCTTTTCCCTTCCTTTTCCTAGCCTGTTGTATCCTGTTTAATTATTGACTGAATTGCTACTTGTCCTATAGACATGAATTACTCTCAATTCATCACAGCAGTAAGTGCAGCAAGAAAGGCATCACCAATAAGACTTCTGAGTGAGTACACACTGACTACTCCCCTCACCTGACAGTTCCTGAAGTGTGTTGTCCTGTCTTCTGAACTCAGCTATGACATTGCAGATAAATACCAGCATAGTCTTACACAAAAACTGTGAGCGGTTATAAGATGATTAATATATGCACAGTAATAAATATTGCGTGTGCCTTATTTGCTTTCAGTGGATAAAGGCTGACATAACTGAGATAGTGACAAGGAGTCCTGTAGCACCTTATAGACTAACAGATGTATTGGAGCATAAGCTTTCATGGGCAAAGACCCACTTCGTCAAAGTAGATCTTTGTCCATGAAAGCTTATGCTCCAATACATCTGTTAGTCTATAAGATGCTACAGGACTCCTTGTCGCTTTTGCAGATCCAAACTAAAGCGGCTATGCCTCTGATGCATAACTGAGATAGTTTGCCTTTGATCCATAAAATGAATATACGTAGTACCCAGTGAAACCACCCCAAACAGAAAAAAGACATGGAAACAGCAACATATTAATTCTTTTAAATGCATGGCAGAAAATATTTCTGCCAATGCCTCCACTCTGGAGTTGTAGCTATTGTTTTGATTTTTATTGCTGAAATTGTAAAGACCAATTGATTGTTAGTAACTTGAATTCAAGAGTAAGTCCTCCTGACAATCAGTCTCATCTTTGCTCACACTTCTGACTGCCTTAGCCTGTCGCTTGAAGGAAACGTCTTTCGCCCGAAGGGGCCATTATGATTATCTGGTCTGATTTCCCGAGCTGGGCCAACAGCCTTACTGGGCCCTGGGCAAGGTAGAGGAGAGCTCTGCTCTGTGCTCTAGAAGGGGCAGGTGCAAGCTCAAGCAGCGATTTATAGGGCCTGGGACACATAACGGCCTGGAGCTCCTGGCTGTTCCTATCAGCAGGCCCTGGGATAGTTGCCCGCTTTCTTCTCCTCCCTTCACCGGCAGGCCTTGATCTCCAGTATACAGAACCCCACGCATCCCCTCATATAGGCTCATAATATCTAGTTGAATTTCTGAAGTCCTCAAATCTTGATTTAAAGACTTCAAGTTTACAGAGAATCCACCATTTACTCTTATAAGTTACTCTAGACCTTATGAGCAATAACAATATGCTGAGTAATTCCTGTTTCACTCTTTCTTACTTGTCCCACTGAGCACCTGGCAGTAGATATACACCAGTGTTTCTTACACTTTTTGAGACCATGAAACACCAAACAATAAGATTTTTTTAGGCGGAACACCTATGAAAGTTTTCTTTAAAAAACAAAACTCTTGTCACACAAAAAAAGACAAAAACAAAAAAGTAACAAAAACAAAGAAGAGGTCGCAGCACACCTGCGAGTTGTTCACGGAACACCAGTGTTCTGCGGAACATAGTTTAAGAAACACTGATGTACACTGTACAGTGTTGATAGTTGATTGTTCTACAAGGCAGAAAAACATAGAAGCCTGCTCCTGTATTACCAGCGGAGGCTTGAATGGAGACAGTTGCAAACTCAGAGGCTAACAACACACCCCCAACTGCTTTTGGCCTACATCCTGTCACCTGCTCACGGAGGAGCAAATTCTACCCTGGGTGTATGGTGGCAGTTGCCATTTCATTGCATTAGGCATTGTGATGCACCTGAGGGTAAAATTTAGATCTTTTTTGTAGTTCTAGAAGATTCCCCATACATACCTGTTCAGTTAATGATTGAGAGAGCTTACAAGGTATTTTTCAGTCAGCCAAGAAAATATATGATAAGTGTTGGCATGCCTGATCTCTATAAAGACTTCATTAACTTTTCTTTTGCAGGTTCCATTTACATTATATAAAAAATGAAGGAATGGGGAAATGGGATATATCTTGAGTAGTTTGATGTATAATGGAGGTTTTCTTCCTTTTCTTTCACTAGCTGAATTGATGCAGAAGTCTCCCCCCTCACTAATTTCCTTGGCTGGAGGAGTACCGAACCCGAACACTTTCCCATTTAAGATGGCCACTATTACCACTGGAGATGGCACTTCTGTGCATATTGGGGAGGATTTGATGAAGAGAGCCCTCCAGTACTCTGCGTCAGCAGGGTACTCATGAAAACAATAAATAATTCTATCATGGACCAAGAATCATGTTTTAACGGTTGATCTTTACAAAAAAAATAATTTAGTTTAATTTTCCTTGTCTGTAAATAATGGTTTTTGAAGTAGAAAATGATGATTATTTGTGAGTGAGGAATGAATTGACAAGTACCAATATTTATTGGGTAACATCAAAGAATATTTGAGAGGCCTGAGTCCAGGGACAATAAGGGTGTGTCTACACTTCTCAAAATAAGATGCGCAATTTGAGCTACGCAAAATGCAGGCTTATTTCGAGTTAATTTTGAAATAGCTAATTTTGAAATTTGGCGCTGTCTACACAGCACTTTTTTTTAAATAAATAGCTATTCCAAAATGTCCCTTACTCCTTGTAGAATGAGATTTACAGGGACATTGGAATAGCAAGTCCGTTATATTTCGAAATAACAGGCACGCTCAAAATACACAGAATAGCTATTTCGGGATACCAAAATAGCACTGCAGTATAGATGTAGCCTAACTGTGACTGCGTGTTACAAAGGTTTAAAGGGTTAAAAATTCAAACAAAATGAAAATTTATTTGATCCCAAAGCATTTTTCTTTTACTTTTCTAGTTCAGCAAGCTACAGTAAAACTCCATTGGTCCAGCATCCAATGCTCCAGCACTCCTAATGGTCATAAGAACGGCTGGACTGGGTCAGACCAAAGGTCCATCTAGCCCAGTATCCTGTCTACCGACAGTGGCCAGCACCAGGTGTCCCATAGAGTGTGGACCGAAGACAATGAGCAAGCGATTTGTCTCCTGCCATCCCTCTCCAGCCTCTGACAAACAGAGGCCAAGGACACCATTTTATCCCCTGGCTAATAGCCTTTTATGGACCTAACCTCCATGAAGTTATCTAGCTTCTCTTTAAACTCTATTATAGTCCTAGCCTCCACAGCCTCCTCTGGCAAGGAGTTCCACAGGTTGACTACACGCTGTGTGAAGAACTTTCTTTTCTTAGTTTTAAATCTGCTCCCCATTAATTTCATTTGGTGTCCTCTAGTTCTTCTGTTATGGGAACTAATAATTAAAATAACTTTTCTTTATCGGCCCTCTCCATACCACTCATGATTTTATATACCTCTATCATATCCCCCTCAGTCTCCTCTTTTCTAAACTGAAAAGTCCCAGTCGCTTTAACCTCTCCTCATATGGGACCCGTTCCAAACCCCTAATCATTTTAGTTGCCCTTTTCTGAACCCTTTCCAAGGCCAAAATATCTTTTTTGAGGTGAGGAGACCACATCTGTACACAGTATTCAAGATGTGGGCGTACCATAGTTTTATACAGGAGCAGTAAGATATTCTGTGTCTTATTTTCTATCCCTTTCTTAATAATTCCTAACATCCTATTTGCCTTTTTGACCGCCGCTGCACACTGTGTGGAAGTTTTCAGAGAACTATCCACGATAACTCGTATGATCTCATTCCTGATTTGTCGTAGCCAAATTTGCCTCCGTCATACTGTACGTGTAGTTGGGGTTATTTTTCCCCGATGTGCATTACTTTACACTTATCCACATTAAATTTCATTTGCCATTTTGTTGCCCAATCACTCAGTTTGGTGAGATCTTCTTGGAGTCCCTCACAGTCTGCTTCTGTCTTGACTATCCTAAACAGTTTTGTATCATCTGCAAACTTTACTACCTCGCTGCTTACCCCTTTCTCCAGATCATTTATGAATAAGTTGAGAAGGATTGGTTCCAGGGCTGACCCTTGGGGTACACCACTAGTTACCCCTCTCCAATCTGAAAATTTACCATTTATTCCTACCCTTTGTTTCCTGTCTTTTAACCAGTTCTCAATCCAAGAAAGCACCTTCCCTCTTATCCCATGGCCATGTAAATTTTTATATTCATGAGTATAACTATCCCTGCTCTCACACCCCTCTCTTGCTGTTTGATACAAAACAACCACATTCCATACACATTGTCCTGGCACAAACAAACCCTGACCTTGCTTTAAGTTATGATAAGAGGAAGCTGCATACTAAATGTGGTGGTTCTACCTCTACCAGGGGTGCGTCTAGACTACATTCCTCTTTTGAAAGAGGAATGCAAAAATGAGGGAAATAAAAAATGCAAATGAAGTGCTGATTTACAAATCTCATGCTTCATTTGCATAATCTCATCCAATCGCTTTTTTGAAAGAGATTTTTTCCAAAAAAAAAGCAGTCTAGACAGGGTTCTTTCGGGGAAAAAAAAGAACTTTTTGAAAAGATCCCTGTAAACCTCATTTTTTTTCAGGAATAAGGGTTCTCTTGTAAAAGGGTTTTTTTTTTGTTGTTTTTTTTTTTGTTTTTGGAAAGAACCCCGTATTTGAGTTCTTTTAGAACCCTTGGATGAATGCCATCCGGTCCCGGAGATTTGTTAACATTAAGTTTTTCTATTTGTTCCAAAACCTCCTCTAATGACACTTCAATCCGGGACAGTTCCTCAGATTCATCACCCACAAAGGACGGTGCAGATTCAGGAATCTCCCCAACGTCCTCAGCCGTGAAGACTGAAGCAAAGTAGCTCAATCATCTAGGGGACCCACAGGTTTTTTAGCAGGCTTCCTGCTTCTAATGTACTTAAAAAACATTTTATTTCTTTTTGAATTTTTGGCTAGCTGTTCCTCAAAATCTTTTTTTGCTTATTACATTTTTACACTTGATTTGACAGTGTTTATGTTCTTTTCTATTTATCTCACTAGGATTGGACTTCCACTTCTTAAAATATACCTTTTTGTCCCTCACTGCTTCTTTTACATGGTGGTTAAGCCACGGTGACTCTTTTTTAGGTCTTTTG